TGGCGGGGGCGGCCCGGGCTGCTCGCTGCTCGCTGCTCGCTGCGTCGCTTTGTCGCGCACGGCCACGGGTGTGGGTGGTGACGGCGCGGGGTGGGGCCTTTCTTTTCCAGCAGGTGGCTTCTAAGTGTCCAGAGGGAAGTATACCTTTTTTAAAATGAACATTTTCTTTGAGAATCATTTCATTTACAGAAAAGTTGCAAAGATAGTGCAGGTTCCCTTATAGGCCGCACCCAGCTTTGCCTAATGTCGCCTTGCGTTACTGTGTACCTTTGTCATAGCTAGGAACCCGCATTGTAATGACCCACATTGGTCATTACTGTTAACTAAACTTTGAGGTTTCTTTGGATTTTCTAGTTTTTTTCCGAATGTCCCTTTTCTGTTCCAGGATACCAATATTAAATTCAGTTGTCACGTCCCCTTAGGTGCCTCTTGGCTGTGACCGTTGTTCAGGCTTTCCTTGCTTTTGATGATCTGGACAGTTTTGAGGAGCGCCCGTCAGGGATTTTGTAGAATGTCCAGGGACACCATATGTGGGTGTCACGTGGGCTGTGGCAGGTGGGTCCAAGGTCTTTGAAAACCCAGATTAACCATGACAAATCGGAGTTTTTCTAAGAGGTTCAAAACTATGTAGAATTCCTTCGCACCTCCCGTGCTTTGTGGATGTCTTTTTACAAGTTTTAAGTTTTGTCTTTGCCCTTTGCAACCAGCTTAATTCTGGCTGTGCGGTTGGGGCCGATGGGGCACTGTGTTCCACACCCCTGCTGCATCTCTGGCTCAGGTGTACCACAGTGACCGGAGTGTGCAGCTTTCATTTAGCTCCTTTCACTGCCATCCTATTAAGCACTAGGGTCTTGCTCTAAAGACGAGCAAAGCGCATGTGATCCCAGCTCCCAGGTAGCAGTCTGGGCGTGGAGGAGCCTGACAGGTGTTCATGCACCCGTTCAACAGATATTTACTGAGCACTTACTATGTACCAGGCACATGCTAGGTGCCCGGGGGACTGGCATAGTGGTGGGGGCTGTCGAAGGCAGAAACCTACAAATGAGCATAGAATTATAAATTACATACCGGGTTCTAAAGGGAACGCCATGGGCCTCTCTGAGGATCACTGAGGGGCCCTAACTTGGTGGTTGGGATGGGGTGTTGTCAGAGAATCCTCTTGTGTGAAGTAACCATCTCTTCAGCTTCATCATCGCGCTGTCATGAGCACACATTCCGTGAGTGTTTCCGTGTTTCCGTGTGTGTGTGTGTGTGTGTGTGTGTGTGTGTACACACAGAGTGACCCAGCATCCTGGGGGCACCATAGGCTTTCTCCATGTCAGAACCCGTCCCCCTCCCCCTCCCGCCGACTCCTGCCCCCATGGGTTACATGTCTGTGTTCTTGAACTTCATGGAAATGGGGTCACAGGGCAAGCCGCCTTTTATCTGCAGCTCCTTCCGCCCGGCATATTTCAGACCCGTCTGTGTTCCCGTGTGTGCTGCAGGCTCGTCGCTGCGCGTCTCCCTTTGTGTGGATGCGCCGCTTAGTTTATTCGTTCGCTCGCTGACGGATACTTGAGTCGTTGCCACTCTGGGGCTTTTATGAATAGCGCGATTAGGAAACCTGCACGGAAGTCTCTGGACTCATGCTCAGCGCTGTCAGGTAGATCCCCGGAAGTGGGCTCGCTAGGTCACACACGCAAGTGCAAGTTTAACTGTGTAAAGAACTTCCACTTTTCCAAGTGGCTGCCGACTTAGTAGCCTCCCCACTGGCAGTAAGAGTTTTGACTTCAGCCCAGTGGATGTATACTCAGTAGCTCACCGTGGCTTTAATTTGCTTTTCTCTGATGACTCATGAGGTTAAGCACCTTTTCTTATGTTTATTGGCTATTGGAATGGACTCTTGGAAAGTGCTTGTTTTTATCGAGTTGTCTAACTTATTGATTTGTAAGAGTTTATATATTCTGGATGCACTTCCTGTGTATTGTAAATATCATCTCCCCTGCTGTGTGTGTTGGTTGCCTTTTTCCTTCTCTAATGGGGCAAAGTTCTTAATTTTAATGAAGTCCAGTGTATCCACTGCCTGCCTTTATGGGTTAGTGCTTTTCGTGTCCCGTTTAAGAAATCTTTGCCTACCCAGGGTCATGAAGCTCGTTCTTGTCTTTCCTTCCGGAAGCTTTACTGTTTGGGCTTTCCCCTTTGGACCAAGACCCATCTCAAATGCGTTTTCGCGTGTGGCACAGGGCGGGCGCCACTCTTAGCTTGTTCCACTGGCCCGTGTGTCTCTCCTCATGTCAGCACCTCACTTTCTGATTCTGCTTCATGGTCTTGAGAAGGTGACTTTTGGACCAGGATCTTAATCCTGAGTAAAGAATCCCTGGGAGCGCCAGGCAGAGGGAACAGCGCGGGCAACCACCCTGAGATGGGAAAGCATTTTGTGTTTTGGAGAAAGAATAGCAGAAGAGACTAGCGTGTTGGGAGCACAGGGAAGAGGGCACGGGGTGAGGGCAGTATGTGCAGCAGAGGTTCCCGTGAGGAGTTAGCATTTTATTCCAAACAACAGAAGCTGTTAGAAAAATGCAAGGGCAGATAAAATCTGTTTTCTCATCATTTCTAAAGTCTCGAGGCTGTGACGCCATGAAAGGTAAATAATGGCCCCAAAGCGTGTGTTATCTGCATGGATAGTGTGGGGTTCCTTATAAAATTTCACTTTAAAAAACAACTTCTGCTTAAAAGAAACTGACTTGGAAAACCAGGTGTCAGGAGTCAGATGGACCCAAGTTGGAATAATGAATTAGTTCTTTCCCAGCTCTGAGGCCTTAGGCCAGTGACGTCACCTCTCTGAGCCTCAGTTTCCTCCTCTGTACAACGGGCCTATTCATAGCTGCTGCCTCGTGGGGCTGTTGTACTAGCTGGGAGAACACATCTGCTGAGCGCCTGGCACAGGGAAGCGCTCAGTGTTACCAGCCCTCCTTGTTGTCACATGGCTGCTATGGTAATGACTTTGGGACTGAGAACACAGATTTATTTCCAGTGCTGGTCTGGGCCCTCAGTGTCCAGCGGGGCGGCACCTTCAAGGCTCCCATTCTTCAGGGGCCCTGAGGGCGGGCCCCAGCCAGAGTCCTTAGGGATTAGCAGTGGTGGTCTGGCCTTGGAGAAGCAGCTGGGTCCCTGGGGGTCATCGCTCTGCACAGGCCACCTGGGGTCCTGTCATAGGCTGAGTGGTTGCTCTGTGACCTGGGGTGTTGCCCACAAAGCTAGCAGCCCTGGTGGGGCTGCTCCCAGCTCCTCCACAGTGTCTGGCCTGACAGCAGTTCCATCAGCTTCTGACAGCTTGCGGGTCGGTCCCAGCTCCGCCTCTGAGCAGCTGTGTGACCCTGGGCCAGTCACCTCCCCACTCGGAGCCTCAGTCTACTCATCTGTAAAGTAGGGTCATTGTGAGGGCTGTGGAGGGAGGGAGCTCCTCGTTACTGGGGGTGTGTAAGCGGAGGCCACAGCCAGGCTGCCGCAGTGTGTCGTGGGGGGAGACATCTGTGGCTACTTTCCAAGGTCTGAAGATGGGTAGAGAAGTCACAGCACTCTCTGGCTTCAGTGGCATGCCCCTGCAGGTGGTCGAGAGGTGGGGCAAACCCTCCCCGCCTGTGCGCTGGCCCTCGGGGAGACTGGCGATCGCTTTCCCTCGGAGGTGGTCACTGAGAGCCCCTTAGCAAGAGGCCACCTCTGAGATGAGAGGGGATCCTGAGATCTGGGTAAGGGAGTCCCAGGCTGAGGACATGACAGGTGCAAAGGCCCTGGGGTGGGCATGAACCAGGAGTCTCTGAAGACCAACCAGTCGGCCAGGGCTGGAGCGAAGGGAGCGAGGAGGAATGAAGTGGGAAAAGTGATGGGGCTGGGTTAGCTGGGGCCTGGGGCACAGTGAGGGTTTTAGATTTTACCCTAAGAGCAGTGGAGCCCCTGGAGGACTCAGGCCCAGAGGGGCCGAGGCACTTGCTGGAGCCCAGCAGTGGGCGTGGGCTGGAGGCATCCCCGGGGTCTCCCGGGGTCAGGCTGGCTGTAGGGGAGTGGCACGGTTCTGCTTCTAGAAGACCCTCTGGTTGCCATGTCCACTCGATCTGTGGCACCACCCCCTCCTCCGATCCCCCTGACCCCAGGGGATCCCCACCCTCCAGCCCCCAGCCACACTGCCGAACCGGCTCCCTCAAGTTAGAGGGTGCAGAGCGCCAGCTCCCTCCGGGCCAGGCCTGACATGCGCTACCTCACTTGGCAGTTAAAAGAAAAATAAGAAAGTTGAATTTGTTTGCCCATGTTTCAAAAGACAAAATGGAGAGATTTCACATAAGAATCTAGATTTCTGGTTTTTCTTATAAAATTGGTGGCTCTGGCAGAGCTCGGCCAGCATCACTGGGAGCAGGTCTCAGCTGGGGCTCCACCCGGGCTCTGCAGGAGGAGGCAGTGGGGGTCCCAGGGATGGGAAGAGATGAGAGGAACAGCCACTGGGCCGAGGGTGGCTGGCCTTGGGGCAGGGCCACCCTGGGAGCTGGAGCTGGGGTCTGTTTTCAAATGGAGCATAACTGGCTGGCCATGGCCTTCGGGCCAGCCCTTTGTTGTTTTGGGCCTTAGTTTCCCCATATGCCCAGGCCTCCGGGTTGGCTGAGATGGTCTCAAAGCCTTGTCATATGTGCTGGGTATGGGGGCCGAACCTCACTTTCTCTCATCTGTATAGGGGTGACGATGGAATTCTGGCTACTGTTGAAAAATACCTTTTTAGCCAACATTCATTTGGCACTTGTTATATACTAGGTACTTGACTTGTATGGCTTCACTTAATCCTCATAGCAGCCCCATGAAGGAGGTGCTGTGGTTACCCCTATTTCACAGATGGGGAAATTGGAGGGTAGGTGACTTGTCCAAGGCCACACAGCTCTTGCGTGGCCAAGATGGACTGGAACGCAGGCAGCCGGGCTGCACCTGTGCTTAGTAAGTCTTTAGAAGGACTTACCATCGGTGGTGGTGGTGGTGGCCTTTAACCAGTGGCCTTACATGTGTTTTGGGTTCTCGGACCAGGAAAGGCTCCTCGTATCCATCTTGTCCAGTGCCATCATTTTACAGATGGGGACACTGAGGCACAGAGGGAGCTGGCCTGTCCTTCCTCACCCAGGGCGTCCTGCCCTTGGACTCTGCTGCCCAGCCCAGAGGAGAGGTAGAGGAAGGAGGTGGGGGACCCCTCATGGGACTCTGCCCGCAGCCCTGAGACCCACCCCCCCCACAGGCCTCCGGTACCCCCAGGAGGAAGTGGCCTGATTGGGGGCAGCTGGTCCTCGGGGCAGTCATGTGACTTGATTTTCTTGGGCCTCAGTTTTCCTCATCTGTAAAATGATAATGGTCGCAGCGCCCGCCTGTGGGGTGGTGGCCCTGTGGAGGTGGCGGCAGATTCAGTGCGAGCTGACCGGGCGGGTGGAGGGCACCTCGGGCCCCGCGTCCAGGCGGGATACATTCCCGGGCGTCCAGGAACCAGGCCACCTGTCTCCACCCTCAGAGCACATAGTCCAGTGGGGGAGACACCCTGGGGGACCGGGCTCGTTACAAGGGGCATCCCGGGCCTCGGGCCCCCGCGTCCGCCCATGTGCCGGGGCCCTGCCCAGGAGCACCCGGCCTCCGGGCGTGCACATGGCCCGTGGGTGCTTGCGAAAGCCGGCGGCCAGCGCGCTGGTGTCGCCCGCGGGCTTTGCCGAATCAGCCCCCTCGTGCTCACCGCGGTCCTGCAGGGCGGGCGCTGCCCTGCCCCTCCTCTCCACGTGAGGGAGGGAGGCAGAAGTTGCTGCGTGGGGCCCGTGGGGCCCGAGGCTGGAGCCATGTGCCGAGTGTGGGAAAGAGGAAGCAGAAAGAAAGGGACGTCCGCCGGAGGCCTGGCGGTTTCCTCTCGGAGGCAGGAGTGTGAGGAGGAGGAGGGCTGGGCAGGAAGCGGCCGGCGGGAGGGGCAGCCGCTCGGGCTCGGCAGACCTGGGGGGGCCGCCTCTGCGCCTCGGGCGTCCCCAGTGGAAAGGCTGAAGGCCCGCGCCCGCCCACCTGCCCCGCGCCCCGGGGCCTCAGCGGGCTCAGCCACCTCACGCTCCTTGCTTCCATTAGTTGTTTTGACATGACAGGCACCAACCACATTTGACAAATCTCATGGAATCACCACACACCGAGGTGGGGACAGTGGTGAAGCTAGCCCACAGATGAGGAAACTGAGGCACAGAGTAGAGGGACTTGCCCAAGGCCACGCAGCTGGGAGGTGACAGCTGTGGGCCCGCTAAGGCCAGGAGGATTGTGTTCAGGCTCCAAGACAGGCAGAGAAACCAGCCACCCGCCACCGTCAGCCCGGCGGCTCTTCACGGGCGGACAGAGCCCGATGCCCCAGTGGGGGGACGGGAGCTGAGAGGCCAGCAGCTCCCCAACTCCACCCTCCCCCTGGGGACCGGGAGCAGACCGCTCTCAAGGTGACGGTGGAGTTCCATCGTTGCCCTGGCTGCTCTGTGACCCAGGCGGGTCCCTGCCCCTTCTGACCTGTGAAATGGACAACCAGGGGGCTTAGTCTGGGCCTCCGGGGCAGGGTAGGAGGAAGGGGTGCTGCTGGGCAGAGCTCCTGTGGGGTCCCCAGCCGCATACACAGCCACCCCTCCTGCCCCTCACTGGGGTTCCCTGTATCATCGTTTTTTGAAAAGTGCTTTGTCTCTTAGAAGAAACCCCCGACCGTGCCGAAACCGCGGGCAGATGGTATCGCGTGCTTCCTTTCAGCTCAAATTCTGTGAATCCACACACTAGAAGGTGCCCTGATTCCAGCAGCCGGAGGACGGGGAGCGGCGTTCGTTTATTACTGTCACCTCGGGGGCCTGTTTCTGTGTCCCCGCCTGCTCCACAGGCCTGTTTGCTGTCACCAGCATATTGGAAGTTGGTCTTCTGTTTTGTTTGTTTGGGAGACTGGTGTTGGGACGAGGCCATCACTGTGAAGTCTGGGCCCATGGGCTTGATGGCCAGGGAGAGGCCTGGCTGAGATCTTGGCCTGAGCCTCAGTTTCCCATTCTATAAAGTGGGATGTCCGTACTTGCCTTGATGAGTGATTACGAGCCAAAACCAGGCTCAGGGAGGGCCTGGCACGATGTATCTCCATCCCAAGGGGTAGAAGAAGGGGCTTCCTGCGTGGGAAATGGCCAGATCCCAGAGGTGGGTCCCTGGCCGCCCTCCCTGGGGATGGGCAGCCACCTGGCTGGCCCGCACAGAGCCCGGACTGGGCACCAGGTGACGGCCTGCAAGCTGGGCGGTGCCACTGGAAACCCCCACCCACTCCTTTGTGGATGGAAGGGAGCCTGTGCACGAGAGGAGGTCCCCGCGCTCCAGGCCGCCGGCCCTCGTGGTGACGGTGGTGGTGGGAGCTTCCTCCCCCAAGGCAGGAGGGGCCACCTCAGCTTCCTTTTTGGGGCCCCATACCCCCTTTTCCTATCTCCTCTCTGAACTGGGGAGGAGGCCACTATTTTCCTCAGGCCTCGGACCTTCGGCCCCTGGAACCTGTGGGTGACGGTGGACGTGGGAGACCCTGGGAGGCGGATGCCTGGGACCCTCCTGTCGCAGGTTCAGCCTGAATCCCGACGGCAGCGAGGTGGAGTGTTAGAAATCTCCAGTAGCAGCAGAGAGAAAAACCTCTCGGCAGGGAACCTTCTGAAACTAGAGGCCCTGCTTCGTCTCGTCTCAGATCTTTGTGTAATCTAGGAAACTTACTGAGGGCCTCCAGTTCGAGTTCCTAATGTGTCTGGTTTTGTCTTTTCAGTGAATAAAGCTCATGGCAATAACTATAGAAAAGTCACTGGAAAGCCACCCACAAACTACCCAGGGAGAACCAGCATTTCCATCTTGGCAGATGTCTTTGTTATCGTTCTTTCTTGTATTTCTTCAACTTTCCCCCCAGATTGCAGTTCCTTCAGCTCTCACTCGCTCAGGCAGAGTACCCCTGGAGTCCCTCCTGTGTGCCAGACACTTGCTCAGATGCTGGAAGCACAGGCAGGACCTTCTGGACAAACACCCCGGCCCCAGTGGGCCTGACGTTCATCTGCCTGCTTTTTGGCACTTACATGTCCTGACCATCTTTCTATTTTCTCAAATATTTTTCAAGAATGTCTTTTTTTAAAAAAAAAAATACTGGCTGCAAAGTTCTTCACACCAGCCATCATATATTTACCTATCATCTAGACTCCTATTTCAATCATCTGTATCTTTTTTGTTCAAATGGAGAACCATGTGACACACATCTGGTACACCAATCTCAGTGCCCATCTCTGATGATTTCCTTGGGCTAAACTCCTAGAAGGGGAAGTGCTGGTCACAGGCTTTGTGGGTGCCTCCAGTGCTGCACGCGCGGCTCCCTCGCAAAGCTCTACATACTGCGCGATGAACCCGTTGAAGTGTGCAGTAGTTTTTAGTATATTTACAGCGTTGTGCAACAAACACCGGGGCTAATTTTAGAACATGTTCATCATCTCAAAAGAAACTATTGGCCTTCACTCCCCGTTGTTTCCCTCCCCCCACCCCGCAGGCAACCATTAATCTCCCCGCCTCTCCCCTTTGCCTGTTCTCTTCTCTTCACATAAATGGAATCAGACAACATGTGATCTTTTGTGTCTTCTTTGACAGCGTAATGACTTCAGGGTTCACATTTCACTTATCTGTTCGTCTTCGGATAGTCGTTGGGTTTCCATGTTTTGGCTGTTATGAGTGGCGTTGCCATGAACACTGGTTTCAGGCCACCCCGGGGACAGCAGGTTTGTTTGGTTCCAGACCACCTCAGTAGAGTGAATCGTAATCTTTTGTGCTGGAGAAGGGTCTTGCCTTCAGTTTGTAAAATAAAAAATGCAACATCTGTGACATGTCATCGGGCGAAGTGCAGGAAAACGAGGTATGCCCGTACAAGTTTGTGTGGGGACGTGTGTTTTCATTCCTCTCGGGTCTGTGGCAGGTGGAATTGCCAGGTTATGTGGTAACTGTTTTTAACACTTGAAGAACCAAACTCTTCCAAAGCCCTATAGCATCTTATACTCCTGCCAGCCATGTATGAGGGGTCCAGGTTCTCCGCCTTCTCACCAACCACTGTTACCTTCTGCCTTTCTGATTCGAGTCATCCGGGCAGATGCGAAGGGGACTCTCACGGGGTTTTGATTTCCCTGACGGCTGAGGATGTGCCAGCTATCCACCTCTGACACCGTTGATGCCTCCTTTTCAAGTAGCCTTCCAGAAAGGTCATGCCCACTTGTCATATCACCAGTAGTGCCAGCCCTGGGTGTTATTTTAAAGACCTTTGCCAACTTCTAGGTAAAAAGCGGTTATCTTGTCCTTTCTGATTATGAGTGGAACTTTTTTTTTTTTTTAAAAATTGAGATATAATTCACATAACATACAATTCACAGTTCCTTGGTTTTATTAGATAAGATAAATATAATTACTTATATATTCACTGCGTATGCAACCACCACTCTGATTCCACATTTCCATCGCCCTAGAAAGCAGCCCTGTACCTATTAGCAGTCAGTCCCACTTCCTGTCCCCAAACCCCAGCCCCTGGCAACCGCTCATCGACTTTCTGTCCCTACAGATTTTGACTGTTTATCTTAGACTCTTGGTCGTTTGCATTTTTGGCGACTCGCAGGCCATTTACTTTGGGTGCTTGTCTCCTGCACTGCCTTTTTCTTGTCGATTTCCAAGAGCTCTGTACACGGACGTTAGCTCTGTCACATGTTGCAAATATTTCGCTGGTTTGCCAGTTTACTTTCAGTTGTGATCCTGAGCTTCTTGGCTTAGGGAGGTTAAGTCTGGACAGTAAAATACCGTAATTTTTCCTTTATGATTTTGTTCTTTGCTTTTTCTACTTAGAAAGGCTTGGGACTAGATAATGACTTAGGTTTTATTTTATGCTTTTCATTATTTAATCCAGCTGGCTTTTATTCTTTGTGGCTGGTGTGATTTCCTGTTGTTTCTTGATATCTGAAATGCTGTGTGTCAAGGCATATCACATCGTGAACGCTCACTAAATGTGGGCTAAAGATAATAGTAATGACAGGTCATGCCAGATTGAGCTCTGAAGGGTGGAAGGCGCCGGTGTGGTGGCTGCAGCTGTGACCTGGCCGGCGTCTGGCTCTTGGCCTGGTCTCTGTCAGCTCAGCCGCCTCTGAGCCGTCCTGGCCCTTCCTGCAGCCCCTCGAGCCCGAGGCCTTCACTTTCACCTCTCCTTCTGAATCATCATTCTTCGAAGGCAGCCTGCGGCCACGTCCCCGGCTTTGGGGGATCTTGGTGGTGATGAGCCCCCCTCCCCTCCGGTGTATCCCCTGCCCCCCACCGAGGCTGGTGACCGAGGTTATTTGTTGTTTTTAACCACAACTTTTTCCACCCTCCTCCCCAGGTGTGGAGCCAGACTCCGTTGCTGGGTGGAGGGGGTTCCCCAACCTGGTCTGGCCCCGCCATGGGGCTGGGAGGCAGGCACCCCTTCCAAGGCCCCAGGGGCTGGCCAGCTTGGGCACCCCTGGCCCTGTGACACTCACTGTGTTGATCGACCACAGACTCCAGTGGACTCATCTGCTCTCCTGGGGGGTGGCTTCCCCAAGTCCACAGAGTCCACTCCTGTGTGGCAGGAAGGCCTGGGGCAGTGCCAGGCTTGACGCTGGGCACGTCCCCTCCCAGCTCAGGGGCCTGGACACGTGACGTGGCCTCTCAGGGTCATAGCTTCTCCTCCTGGGTGCTGACCACGGCCTGGCCCTCAGGGCCTGGAGTGTCTCTGGGTTTGAGGTGGCCGGGAGTGGCACTAGGAGAGGAAGGCATAGCCTGGGTAAAGGTGTGGGCTCAGTAGGACACGGCACTTTTGCTTTGGGGCTCTGTGGCCATGTGGGGTGGGAGGATGCGGGTTGGGGGTACCTGGAGAGGACTGGGGAGCAGGATGTGGTCGCTCAAGGTATGAGCTGGTGGCAGGTGGTTTGCAGCTGGCAGCGAGTTTGGAGTGTGGCTGGGCCCGCCCCTGCTGCAGACCCCTGGTCTGCCCGGGGGCCTGTTGGCCGAGCTCTTCCAGAGAGGCTTCTGCCCTCAGGGAGGGTTGGGGCACAGGACAGCAGGGATCTGAGGCTGGGTGCGAGCAGCCCGGGATGCTCACTCTTCACAGCAGTCAGCTCCAGGGCCTGGACAGTCGTTTGTTCCAATTTGTCACCCTGAGAGCCAAAGGTTTCAGCGGGATGGCGGCCCGCGTGGCAGGCATGGCTCGGGTGAAGGTGCAGAGAGGGGAGAAAGCCCGGAGTCGTCAGCGGGTGGCCTGGGCAGGGTGCTGGCTTCCTCCATTCCTGTCCTCAAGGCCCTGTCCCAAGACATGCCCCCCCAGGTGGGGCCGGGGTACAGCCTGGACTTGTCCTTCTGAGGGGTAGGCAAAATCAGCTGGTGGTGCTGGTGGGTGATTAGCTTCGTGGCTCACCTGTTCAGTCACGCCCACGAGGGGGTACAGGGAGTGTGGGACTTCCAGGAGTCTTAAGCCATGGTCCCTCCCCTCCCCCTTGTGCCCAGCCTCATAGCTGCCTCACCCAGACTTGGGCACCTGCAATCTCAGGAGGGGGCCCAGTAGCTGCTGGGGGTTGGTCCCAGGCTGGTTCTGTGTGTTGGGAGCTGTCTCTGTATGGGGGTCTCTGGGTGTTTGTCTCTTGTGGGGTGGAGGTTGCTCCAGCATCTGAGAGGGGCTTTGTGTCCTTGTGATTCTGTGTGTGAGGGGTGGTCTCTGATAGGGGGTTTGTGATTGCCGCTGCGAGTCAGGCTGTCTGACATGGGGGGACTCTTACAGGCTTGAGGGGGAACTCCTTGCAGGCGGGGCTTCAGGTTAGCCCCCAGCCCATCTGTCCCAGCATCTCTGGATAATTACTATCCCCCCTCCTCCCTGGCCTTGGAGGGTGCAGGAGGGAGGGGAGGTCAGGCCCCCAACCCCACACTGGGATCATTCAGGATGCGAGGGAGGCGAGCTGATGGGGACCCTATCTCTGTGCAGGGTGGTTATATTTGGGGGCCTGTCTCCCTGTCTCTGGCACTGAGGGGCTCTTGTTTGCCAAGGAAAGGGAGAAGCTGACTTGATCCATGTGGCCTTTCTGGAAGTTTCTCTCACCCGCTTCTTGCTTCAGTGTGGGAACAGGAGGCAGACCAAGGGGAGATCTGGCCCATAGGGAATGGGGACATCTGGGCGACAGGCAGGTTCATTCACAGAAGCCCTAGAGGGTGCGTCCCTTATCACCTCCATTTTACATATGAGGAAACAAAAGCAGAGAAGTGATTTGCTCAGGGTCACAGAAAAAAGTGGCTGCAGCAGGCATTTGAAGGGCCTGTGGGGGTGGGGGTTTGGGGCCCTGGTTGGGGGCAGAGGAAGGAAGTGGCCTGTGGCCTGTAGTTCCAACATTTGTTCAGTCCCTGGAACCGGTCCATGGCCTGCAGTTTGCCCCAGAGGAGCTGGGGAACAAGGGGCTGAGAGAACTTGCCGCTCCTGTCCGCCTCTGCTCCCCAGACACCTGAGGGCTGGGTCCCTCGCACCCACCTGGCTAATCACCCATCCATCCCACAAACCCTCCTTGAGGACCTCCTCTGGCCCGAACCTGGTGCTGGGCCCCAGCTGGAAACGAGGCTTGGTGCCCTGTCCCCACCTCCCGAGGAACTCCCAGTCAGATGGCGGGGCAGCTGCATCATCAGGAAATTATGGCCGGGCCTGATAAGCCCCTGGCCGAGGGAGAGGCACAGGAATCGCACTAACCACGACGTGACCAGAGAAGGCTCCCTGGAGGAGGGGAGGTTTCCTCTGCCAAGACCTGCAGCCGGAGAGCATGGGCCCGGAGGCGGGCAGGGTCCAAGCCCCAGCTCTACTCGGCTGCGCCCTTTGTGGCCAGGACAAGTGACTTTGCCTCTCAGGGCCTCCATTCCTCCATCTGTAACTTGGAGTTGGAGGCAGTGTGGTTGTGGGGTCAAGAGCTTTCTCTTCCCCATCTTCTCCCCTGGCCAGCTGGAGCCCTGGGAGGCCCAGCCACATTCCCGTCTCTATCTTCCATCCTTGCCCTGACCACCCTCCCTGGAGCATCCCTACCATGCCGCTGTGCCTCTCCCTAGGGTGAAGAGTCTGCAGTGGGGCTGCACCCTGTGCCCCACTGGTCCCCAGCACTCACGGAATGTGGCAAACAAAAGGCCTGTGATACCTGTGGTAGGAACCGGGCACTGTGCCCAGTGCTGGGTATGCCACGGGAACAAGACCACATCCCTACAGAGCCATGTCACAGGCTGATAAATGCAGTGAATGGAGGAGAGGGTTGTGTGATGGTGACTGTATTTAGACACTGGTCAGGGAGGGCCTTCCTGAGGTGGTGACACTTCAGCTGAGACTTGGATCTGAGAAGAGTCAGATCTGGGCAGATGTGGAGGGACTACCTGGCAGAGGGAACAGCGGTGCAAAGGCCCTGGGGTGGAGCTGCTTGGTGCATTTAAGGAGCAGCAGAGGCTGGTGTGTCTGGAGCAGGGTGAGAGAGAGGGACAGTAGACGAGGTTGAGGTGGTAACAAGGAGGCGGCTGTGTACGGGCTGCTGTGGGCCCTGGTGGGACTTGTGCATCTACCCTTGGCTACATGGGGCCCGCAAGTGGGTTCTGAGCAGAGGCAGGGGACGGGAAGTAGCTGGATCTGGGTACATCTGGGAGTAGGACTGATGTACAGCAGCTTGGTTTTGATGCTGCCCACTGCAGGAGGTTCAGGATGTCATCTTGTTTTCCAACTCCTCCTGACTAGGGAGGTCCCCGGTAAGCACCCGCTCTGCCCCAGCATCCACCGTTCTGCCTCCATAGGATGGACTGTGCCTTCCACTCCCCTGCTGCTCCCTGGTATCTGAGGGAGGGTGGAAGAGGGGTGGGCGCGGCCTCCCTGCCCAGCACTCCCTTCGTGTCCGCCCGGGGCCCGTGCTCAGTTCATTTCCAGAACCTCCAAGCCAGTTGGTTGTGATGCATTCTGTCCTGTCCCCCAGGTTTTCTTAGCCTTGTGTCATTCGTGAAGCAGCGATAAAACACCAGCCTCAAGGGCTGTTGGGGGGTCATGAGAGGCTCCCCACTGTTGGTCTTCAGACACAGATGGCCCAGGGCAGGGCAGTGAGAGTTTTCTCACCAGAGTATCACTGTACTTGACACCCAGGATTGTCCTTTACTCAAGAAGTGACGTTCTTACTTCGTTGGTCCCACCCAGCCTATGAATGAATTCAGGAGTCCAGAAGCCACTGGTGAGTGGCCCAGGCACAGATGGTGCTCACTGAAGGTGGTGTGCAGAGCCTGTCACTTCTGGCCACAGCTGACCTCTGTGGACGTGGCTGTACTTTCTGGCCTCTGGGCACTGGCTCGCTATTCCCTTAGCCTCCAACGCCTTTTCGTCTGGCTTCACTTCGGAGAGTGTTCGGCAAACATTCATAGCCACCGATTCTGTGCCCTGCCAAAGACACAAAGGTGGAAAGGGAGCAGGGCGGCCTCCTTGAGTGCATGGTGGGGAGACGAGAGAGCTGACTGTAGCGGGCAGGTGGAGGACAGGGAACAGCTTCCTCAAGGAGGGAACTGTCCTCCAGAGCAGGTTCCTTAGGCCCAGCCCCACCGTGCCGTTCCCCTCGGGACCTTCCCAGACCTGTGAGAGCCTCTGTACGTGCTAGACTGCTAAATCCTCACGGGACGGCAATAGCATAGTTATCACACCTTACACAAGCAGAGCTGTGACTCAAGGCCAGGACGGGGATGTTGCTGTGGTGGCCACACAGGCCCCAGAGAGGTTTCTGAGCAGGACACTGGGTGGCCAGTCTGGGGAACACAGGGGTCCACCAGGATCCTCTGCTCTAGTCCTTGTCATCTGCACAAGAGCTGCCTCCTCCCGGAAGTCCTCTTGGCACCAGCTGCCAGGAAGCTGGGACAGATTTGTGGCAGGTGCAACTCTGGTCTATGTCCTAACAGTTGTCTCCCCCTCCCTCCGAGTTTGAGTATTCCCGTAACCTGACTAAAACCCTTTTTGGAACAAAACAGGACATTTCCCCCCCCCCGCCAAGTTGGTGTTTTGATACCAGTTAAGACTTGAGTAAGCTTTTTCCATAATGGCGTTTCATCCATTTGTTCATTAATTCATTCTTCTAGACAGCATCCATTGGGGCTCTGGGCCGGGGGCACTCAGCTGTCCATGAGTGGGACCTGGAATTTGCTCTGAGCCTCCAGGTTTTCATCCAAGACCACCTCCATCCAAACCCCATACTCCTGGAGGGGGTGGGGGTGGTCAGCAGGGTCTGTTTACTTGTCCCCGTGTAAACCGAGGCTGCATTTAGTGCCATGCACAAGACACCAAAGGTAGTAAGTAGTGAAGCTAGAGCTTGTCTAACCACCTCCAGAAACAGGCCCCAGGCCACCAACATGTCACCTTAAGGGCATGGATGCTATGGCAGAGATGTGTGACGTGGACCTAGCTCTCCAGCCATACACTATGTCCTATTTCCTGTCCCGCTGTTGCTCTTTGTAGAAGAGGGCCCAAAAGCCTCAGGAGAGGGAAGACTGCCAGGGGCTCTGTGGCCTGTGGGGTTCCGGATGCTGGGTGGTCTGTCCTCGAGGCTTTTGCTCGAGGATAAAGGTTCCTTTGGTGGCCAGGCAGGGCATAGTGGATGGAACAAGGCCATTGTAAGGACCTGGCCTGCCCATGCCACGGGGCCCTCCATGCCAGGCCCTTCGCTGCTTGGGTGTGAGTTAGAGGCTGTCTTCCCCCACAGCTCCCCGTGGAGGCAGCGTGCAGAGCCACGTCTGGCCCCACAAACAAGCCTGCTTCTATCAAAGGATTCAAGATGACCGCCAGGTCTGCACACTCAGCGGCCACTTCCATACCCCACCTTAGAATAAGCCCAAACCAATTTCCCCGGCCAAGACCCCATTGGGTCTACTGTGGCCACCTTAGTTGTGCTTATCTCTTCACTGTGGGGCACAAGTCCTGTCAGTCTCCTTGAGTATCCATGTGCTTCCCCACTTCAGGGCCTTTGCAAAGGCCAGCCTGGCGCCTGGGAGGCCCAGCCTTGCTGATGACGTAGCCGAGGTCAGCCCTTCCCTGCTCCGCCTGCTGGTCCGACTCTCCTTCCCGCTGGGGGCCCACCTCCCCTGGTACAGCGGAAGCTTTTGGGGTCAGGGGCTGTGTCTGTTTTGTTCCCACTGTGGCATGGGCACCTGGAGCTTAGTGAGGGTTCAACCAGTCCTTCTGCTGGGGTCTCGAGGGTATGAATGGTGACAGGCCTCACTCAGGATGGTTGTGAGGACATGGCAGAACAGGGTGCAGCCCAGTACCTTGGAAGGCTCTGGAAGGGTTACCCTGGCCTCTGCCCCATAGCACACAGGGAGTGGTAGCAGGGTGTGGGGCAGTTTCTAGGTGAAGGCAGGAGGGAAAGGCAGGCCTAGAGACAGGATGGGCTGGTTCCAGTTGCCGCCCACAGGCCCCCCAGTGGGAGCACAGGGACCCCTGGGTCAGTGGGAGTCTGGAAGAACCTGGGTGGAGGGGGAGCTGTGCAGACTGCCCTCTGAAAGCACCGGACAACGAGCCCAGAGCTGGAACTCTGCTCCGTCTCACAGGCACGTCGAAGTTTCTGCCCAGTTTTAATGTCCGCGGAACAGACCGACTGTCCTTCCAGGGCTCGCCCTGCCCCTCTGGCTCCTCGTGCTTTTGATCTTTTCAAAACAAACTCAGAAGCAAGCCGTTCACTGTGTCATCTGTAGTCACAGCGAAACACGAAACACGCTTTAATGTCTCATCTCGTCCCTGTCCCGTCTTAGGGAAGGTAGGTAGGTTGGTCGTGTTACGTGTGGATTTCACTGCAGGCTGGTGAAGGCGCAAACAGGGTCTGTAGGGCTGAGAGAGGGGTGTGCGCCCAGTCCCAGGGCACTCGCAGGGGAAGCTTTGTACTGTGGCTCGTGACACCATAGTGCTATTGCTCATAACGCTGTAGTACTGTGACATTAGTACTAAAACGCTATAATGGACCCACAAAGGCTTGACCCACCTTGGCTGGCCTTGGACCCCAGCCTGGAAATTTAATACCAATCAATCACCATACCAACCCTGTGAAAAAAAAGGGCTATTAAAAAATGACAAATATAAGGCAGGAGGGCTGAGCTGATTCAAGATTACAAAAGGATTCATGGAAGGGTCAGGACTCAACCCTGAAGCCTAGAGAAGTAATAGAATTATAAAGCCCTACTGTGAGGAGACGGTCAGAGCCGGTCTGCATTTGTGGTGTTTGAGCTTTCAAGCAGTCAGAGCAAAGAAAGAAATAGGTTATTCCCACTGGAGTCACAGTGGCCATAAGAAAGAAGCCAGCTTTTTGGATGCTAGGAGCTAAGACTTGCTCCCTGACCCCAGCAGTGGGTGCTGCAGGATGTGGTGGGTGTCATTCTACTGCTTTTACAAAAGAAGTGGTTTGGCCATTTTGATCACCTAAGCAGTGTGACTTTGAGGTGGGTCCAGAGGGCAGTTGTTTGCTGGCCTGGCTTGCTCTGCAGGGCATCTGTACTAGAGGGCGTGTAGGAGGAAGTGAAGCCCCCATGTGTTCCTGTAGCTGCTGACACAGCCCCAGGGTTTGCGCCTGGTTCCAAACCTGGCTCTGTCCCATCACGTCACTCAACCAGAAAGACATCCACTGGTCCCTCCACACAGCAGCCAGTGCTCCCGAGTCTTGCTCTGGACCAGCCACAGGCGGGGTTGTCCTGTCCTCATGCTCTCGGGCCCCTCTACTCTTGTACAGCCTCTGCCATCTCCCCACTATCTGGAAGCGTGTAGACACCAGCTCTGATCCTTGGCAGCTGGGGTTCAGGTCCCAGCTCTGGGCCAGACCAATGGGCTGGTGGGGCAGCTCTCACACAGGGTTGCTGTGAGGGGTCGGGCAAGAATGCGTGTTAGGCGCAGCCTGCAGGCAGATGGGGGCCAGGACGGGTCATACTGTCATCTTGCAGCCGGGGCTGGCTGCGGGTGAAGAGGGGAATCCTCTTTTCGCCACTGCCTGCCAGATCAGCAGTTCCCCAGCTGCTGGGGGTGGGGCTGGAGTGGTGCTGGCACGGAGGGCCCCACATTCAGAGTGAAACCAGTGGCTTTGCTGCTTAATCTCGGCACTCGTTGGGGCCGGGGCTGAGGCCAGGACCGGGGCCAGGACCCAGAGCAGAACTGAAAGGGAGACTAGGCCTGTTCCCTCTTGGCCTGGCCTACTTCCTCCCAGTAATCCTGAGGCCGGAGCCAGCAGAGAGGGTGGGGGCCAGGCAGGGCCAACGGCACCAGCAGGAGAAGGAAGGAAATAGCCCTTCGTACCTTACCCATTTTGCAGGCAAGAAACAGGCCAAGAGGCTAGCTGACTGCAGAGGCTGCCGGGAGAGCAGAGGCCTGACGCCCATGCGCTCTGGCGTGTCCAGTGTCCGTGTAGGTGCTGTGCTCCCCACATCGGACTCCCAGGCTGAGAAGCTGGGGTGTGGGGGGACGTGGAAGAGACACTGGAAAGGCGCAAATGCTGTGGCTGGTCACTCAGGGCTGGGACTTGCTGGTTGTGCAACTCCTCCAAGCTCGTTCTCCCATTTGTAGTGTTGGTGAGAAGGTGCAGTAAACCCTGCACATGTAGTGTTTCCAAGAGTTGCTGTCACTGTCCCCAGACTGCTGTCCCTGTAACCAGGGCAGGACTGGGAACTCCAAGGAGACCTGCTGGGGGTGGGCCTGGACTGGAAGGGCCCCCGTTTGGCCAGCCCTCTCATCTCACTGTTCCTCAGCCTTCTGTCAGAGATGCCTGGTAGCTGTGTGTCCACAGAATGGTTAATCATGTGGCTTTGGGGACCGGCTTTTACACCACCTTTTGAAAGGGCAGCCCCTGGCCAAAATGTGCCCTTCCGGGCAGAGAAAGTGGCAGTTGGATCCCCCAAAGTCTGCCTCTTGTTTCTACCCTCCCCCCCATGCTGGTTTGTTAGGGGCTGTGGCCCAGGTGTGTCTGGCTGTCTCCTAACCCTTGGGAAAAGAGCTAATTAAGGGAGGGGTCCCCTGTTGGGCCTTCTCTGTCTGTTCCCCAACTCCTTCTCTTATCTTCTGGTTTCTGCGAGAAGCAGCCACTGGTCAGATCATCTCACGACCCCCGAAGAAACAATCTTGTCACAAGAGGAAGTGGAAGAGATAGGGGGCAGGAAGGCTGAACCCCCTTCTGAGAAAGCTCCTGGGTTTGCAGGTGCCCCAGAGCCTCCTGCTGTCTGGGCACAGGCATCTGCAGGGTCAGCCCTTGCTCTGGCCAGGTTCAGTCAGGACCCAGAAGGGCTTTTGCTGGCAAACGGGCTGGGGGCCATTTCCCACCTTCTCTGAGCCCTAGAGGTGTTGGATATCATGGGAGACTCCTGGATCCCAGGTTGTACTTGGATTTCGGCTAGCTATGACTCAGGCCAGATGTGCCGGGCTTTGCCCCTTTGGGTGTACTGGCAGAAGTCCCAAAAGCCTACTTCACAACTGCAGTCAACCCCTATCTTGCAGCCAAAATCTACCCCTCCTTGTCCTAAGACTTGACAGCAGGACAGATTAGTGAGGTGTGGGGTTCAAAAACCTGATCTTCCCTTCCTCAGGCAAATAACTTCAACTCCAAGATGTGTGTTTCTTCTCTCTGAGATGTGGTGATAATACCTGCTTCCTAGGGCTGCCATTAGGTCAGGAGAGTTACGAGCGGGGAGCTAGTGGAGGTGGGAAGCTAAGGCAAGATGAAGACCTGGGACCCCTGGCAGAGTCAGCACCACAGAGAGAAATGTGCCTTGGGATGGATGCCCTCATGTCCCCTCTCTGGGCTTGTGACGAGGGGGCGTCAAGCAGCCCACATGACGTGGCTGCATGGGGAGCTCTTTGCTCCACCAGTGGGAAGAGAAAACAGGTCAGCAGGCAAACGTGTCAGTGCTGGAATGCCCACAGATCCAGGTGAAGGGGCACTGCTGGCCCTCAGCCCACATAGCTTTCTGGGGGATCTCGGTGTATGGTGAGTAGAGACGGTGCTTCAGAGGCTGTAGGAGAAAGGGCCTCTGGGCTCCTGGAAGCTAGAATGGCAGACCTTACTGCAGGCTTGGGGTGCATGCTCAGCAGCACCACAAGCACTCAGCCAGGCTAGGCCCCTGGGGAGACAGAAAAACAGGCCTAGGTGGGCAAAGGGCCAACAGGGACAAGCCTTGAGTGCCCTCCTTGGTTTCCTAGAGTTCAAAGCCCAAGCTACAAGCAGCCTGCTCCAGCATCCAGGAGGTCCGGCGGTGCACACGCCTCGAGATGCCAGACAACCTCTACACCTTTGTGCTAAAGGTGAGTGACCGAGCTTTCCACCCCTGGGGGAGTACGTACACACCCAAGGATCCCACACAGCCGTTCCCTTTCTCCCCACCAGGTGAAGGACCGGACAGACATCATCTTTGAGGTGGGAGATGAGCAGCAGCTGAATTCGTGGATGGCTGAGCTCCGGGAGTGCACAGGCCAAGGGTGAGGCCCCAGGCCCTAGGGCCCCAATCCTGGCATAGCATTTACTGCTACCTCTGCTCTACCCAGACCCCTAACCCCAGCCTCTTCTCCGGCAGGCTGGAGAGCACAGAACCAGAGATGCACATTCCCTCAGCTCTAGAGCCCGGCACGTCCAGCTCTCCAAGGGGAAGCACAGATTCCCTGAACCAAGGTGAGTGGGGTTCAGCCTTCGCCCAGGACGTAAGGCACCCACAGGGGCTCACCGTTGTCCATCTTCTCTACCAGGTGCTTCTCTTGGGGGCTTGCTGGACCCAGCCTGCCAGAAAACAGATCACTTCCTGTCCTGCTACCCCTGGTTCCATGGCCCCATCTCCCGAGTGAAAGCAGCGCAGCTGGTTCAGCTGCAGGGCCCTGCTGCCCACGGAGTGTTCCTGGTCCGGCAGAGTGAGACGCGGCGCGGGGAGTATGTGCTCACGTTCAACTTCCAGGGCATAGCCAAGGTATGGGGCAACAGAGGTGGGGCTGTCCCCCACCCCCGCTTCAAGGCCCTTAGGGGCCAGTGCCTGAGCCTACTGGCTTCTCCCCCTGCAGCACCTGCGCCTGTCGCTGACCGAGCGGGGCCAGTGCCGAGTGCAGCACCTTCACTTCCCCTCGGTCGTGGACATGCTACACCACTTCCAGCGCTCACCCATCCCACTCGAGTGCGGTGCTGCCTGTGATGTCCGGCTGTCCAGCTATGTGGTGGTCGTCTCCCAGCCACCAGGTGTGACCCCAGTGCCCCCGGTAAAGGGGGTGGACAGCACAGGGAACCGGGAGAGGGTAAAAATTTGCTGCAAACCCAGGGACAGAGATCTCGTTTCGTGTCCAGCGTTTGTCCCTGCCCTATAAAGACTGACAGTGTGGTCTTTGTTGTCACTTATCCCGCAGGTTCTTCCAACACGGTCCTGTTCCCTTTCTCCCTCTCTCGCTGGGATTCGGAGCTGGGCCTTCCCCACCTTAGCTCGTCTGGCTGTCCACGGGGGCTGGGCCCGGAGGGTCTCCCAGGACGATCGTCTCCCCCAGAGCAGATCTTCCACCTGGTGCCTTCGCCCGAGGAACTGGCCGACAGCCTGCGGCACCTGGAGCCCGAGCCTGCCAGTAGAGCCCGGGACTCAGACTACGAAATGGACTCCTCCTCCCGGAGCCACCTGCGGGCCATAGACAATCAGTACACACCTCTCTGACGGTGGCAAGGACTCCCTGCCTCACGGAGGCCCTGGAGCAGCTAGAAATAAGAACTTGTGAATGTAACTTTCTTTCCTTCCTTTCAGAGAGATTTAAGGGACACTGTTAACTGTTCCAGTTTGGATGTGACCCTTCTATTAGGCCTGTTAAAGGGCCTCTTTTAAGTTTCATCTATCACCTGGCTTTCTCCTTATTGTTTACAGATGTAGTTCTTGTTTGCAGATGCTGCTGGCTCCTGCCCTGGGTCCCTAGGACCAGTCTCCATCACTCTTAGAGGTGGTGGTGGGGTGAGGGCCCGAAGTGGCAGTGGAAACTTGTTCTCTTTTTCACTGACACTGTCACAGCTGATGACAGACTTTCTATTGGGGGGAGGGGGGAAAGAGGGTCATCAGGAAGCCCAAAACACTAACAAGCCCTGGATTCTCTTATGGTTTTCCTGTTGTAGCTTCAGTTCGCGTGGCAGCTCTGCTGTGCCCATGCCACAGGTGACCACATCTATCCTGCTTCGACACTCAGCCTTAGGATAAAGCTCTGGGAGATGGACAGGCTAAAGGTCAAAAATGATTTTAAACATTTTACCTCAGGTCAATTTTTCAAAGGATTCAGGTTTCAAAACTAAACCATTGCTTACTTCGTTGCACTGTTTGAACTAATACCCATGTGATTTTTATAGTCAGACAGCTATGCAAATGCTTCTTAACTAGTTCCCAGTCTCAGCCAGCATGCCTGGCTTGTCTACTGCATCCTCAGGACAGTCACCGGCTGCTGAGTAGCCACTGTCCTTCCTAAATGTGGAGAAGTGAAGTGTGTCACCCTTTCAGGGAAATTCAGACAATTACTGAAATAGGAGGGTGGCAAGTTACAGTTCTATCCTGGTGCCTTATGAATAAAAACTGGATTCTGGTTGACAGAAGCTTTATGCTGAGAGTTAAACCGAGGGGTGAGGGAGGGACAAGCAAAAAGGGAAGAAAGGCTCCTGGGCCTTTCTAGTAAATCTTTCATCAACAGGGCCTTCGCAGAGCCCCCCAGTGTCTAATGGCTTATTAAATTATCTGACAAGGTTTTAGGCTCATTCTTATGCCAAAATGGAAGCTAGGAACCTGGTGCCTCAGCTAATGAGGCAGTCCTTTAATGGCCCAGTGTTATTCCAGCTGCTCACTGCTTCATCTGACGAAGCATGTGTGCACACATGCACACACCTCCACCACCTGGGGGCGGCGGCGGGCGGGGGGGGGTACTGCTGCTGCAGTCAAATCTCTATGCCTCTTTCACAAGTGTCAATCCACGGAGGGGCTGGCTCCTCCCAGAGGTTACACACATAGGCTCAAAAACAAGGCGGGCAGTGACAGTGATGTCAGCTGCTCCTGGGTGCCAGCAGAATCACTCAGTGCAGCCACCAGGTTCACCAAGGTGGCTTCTAGGAATCTGGGAGTTTCGCATAGCGTAACACGTATACACACACATCAGAGGCTGAAATTGAACATTAGCCTAAAACTTACTGCCTGCTTTATCTGGGTAAGGGTTTGGTCTGCTCCCTCCAGCCATTCTCTGTACTCCAAGAGATGTCTTTTGCTTCTAGAATTTTCTGGTTGAGCTTTCTTTCTTGAAGGGGAGGGGCAAGTAGCCACCTCTTCACCACTTTTAAAACCAACACTCCTGGGCGTTTAGACAGATTGTAAAACAGATCCAACCATGATCCAGATTTGTGGTCCGTTTCTAAATATATTTATTTTCTACATATCAAGCAGGTTTCTCTGACGTAATGAATGCCAAGCAAAGTGTGAACCAGGAGAGCAAGCGCTATTTTGAATATCTCTTTTAAAAGAGAAAACTCATCACAGAAAGTCACGGGGGCAGATTTTTCCCTTGTCTGCACAGAAAAGGGGCCAAGTAGAAAATGAAGCAAGTAAATTCCCTCCCATCTGAGATATGACATCTTTAAGGCAAGGGCACTCCTTAGCAATTTCAACATTAACAATTCTCAGGTGGTGCAAGAGGCATGCCAGACACAGCAAACTAGCAGCTCTGACCCACTGGCTACAAAGTACAGGCTCAGACTCCGACAGACCTGGAAGTCACCCACCTCCAGACTGCTTCAGTATAAAATGTTCAAGAAAAACATTTCCTTTCTAAATGTGTCTGAGTTACCAGGACAGCTCAAATACATTCTGACAAAAAGCCCCATGATAGCCTGGGAAGAAGTGACACTAAGCCAATGCCTTTTCTGCTGGAGGAGAGGGAACAGCAGGTCCCTGGGCTCGATGCCCTCAGTGACCCTGCTGGCTGCAGCCAGCCCACCATGATAGCACATTCCACCACCCTCCTTCCAGTCCTGATGTGACTGCTGCTGCCAGCAACAGGCCAAGCCGGCAGCCTCCACTGAGAGCCCAGGCTCTGAGTGCCAAAGGGACAGTAAGCATCACAGTCCCTCCAGTTATCTCTAATTACAGACTATAAGGATAGCTTGACAGCTCCCAGCACCATCACTTCCTTAATCTGACTTTAATTAACTTTTACAAACTAACAGTCACCAGCACCAAAGAATTAAGTCAACTAACCTGCCTTGAATTTTAGACCAGCAATCCATATGGCTTTATCTGGTATAAATCTTCTGCCTTTGATCATTTCTGGACCGTGTAGGAAAAAGGAATAGCAATCATTAAAATCTTAGGCCAGAGAACACTATTTTTATATAACAGTTTCTTAACCTAAAATCAAGGCCTTGAACTCATCCCTAGGGGTTGCCTGAGATTCCTTCATGCTTTTATTCAGGGCTAAGTCTCATCGCAAATGTCATGTGAGCTCTAACATCTCCCAAAGGCTAGAAGAACTTATATTATCTCCACTGCCTCTTAACAAAGACACATCTGACATTCCAGTGTGTGGTTGGAATAAGCAGCACATTGTAACAACACAGAAGATGAATTCATCTTGTATCGTTATAGGCAGAAGGTATTTGGCAATTTTTATGTATTGTTTATGTACTGTATAAGTAACTTATTCTTGAATAATGCAAATTTTGCTATAATGTACAAATTGCTACATGTGAATTAAAGTTTTCAGAATCTTGATTTGTTGCCACAGTATTTAAAGGCTCTATTACAACTATGGTCTCAGCAAAATCCTTGCCCTGCTCAATTAACTGCTTTATCCTTTGTCTTCCCACAAACTGGGGACATTAACAAATGCTTATGAGTCTACAGCAATAAGCTGCTTTTGTACATCACTCTACCTTTTCTGCCCTCTATCAGTTTTTTTTTTTTTAAAGTATCTCCTGCCCCCTACTGGTAAAACAAACATGTCTGACACAGGACAACTTCCGCCTAACAACACTCATTTGGGTTCAGGAGATATTAAAAAGGAAGCTTACAGAATCAGCATCAGGCTGAGGATGTGGAATGTCAGCGCTGCCCAACTCTGGCCAGCCTTCCTCCTTCTGACGCAGACCTCTATCCACCAGAGAATATCTCAGTCTTGTCTTTTTCTAGAGATACCTTGAACCAGAACTAAAGGTGAAGAAGAAAAGTCATTTGTGACAACTAACCTTCCAGGATATTAAGAAAGCACACTCAGCCCTCCTGCCTTGATGTTAACTAGTAGCTTATACAAACACACACTAACTTGGTTTCAGTTTTTAAAACTTTTTTTATTTTTTAATTTTTTTTAAGTTTTTATTTTATATTATCTACAAAGTAAAAGTTTTTCCCTTAACTTAAAAGTTGAACCACTGTAGACAGTGATCACTTCATCAAACTTGATTTATAAATAATAATCCGTCAGTTTGACGGTAAGAATTTACTGAACCTCTGTCAAGTTTAGTAAAAGGGCGTTCCAAGTCTTGATTTTTTTTTTTTTTTTTTAGCAGTAATAGCAGCAAGAATCACTCTTGTTACTTCTTTTGCTAGCTGATGTGTTCATGACTTTTGAGGGTCATTAAAAAATAAATAACTTCCAGTTTCAGCAAGCAGAGCTGGGGTACTTGCGGGACTCTGAAACAGCGTATGGAATTATGGAACAGCCCACAAGTTCCTAAATGCCTCTACTCGGTCCAAATATCTTCCACTGCAAGTGAACTGTTAGCATTCCTATTGGATGTTACAAGAAACCAACATGTATTTCTTAAAAACAAAATAAATGAAATTCTAGTTTTCTGTGCTTCCAGTTGGTAGAAGCAGTAGAAGGGAGGAGGGAATTTGGCCTTTCGGTTCCTCCAGGGCAGCCTTACAACTGCTGTTGGTGGTGGGCTTGTACTGTAAAAAAGAAAAATGAATGTTTAAACAGAAAGCTGGCAACACCGCACATTAGCCTAGTGTCTGTCTCTGCAGCACATGACTGTACGCTATCCTCGTGCTAGCTGAACAAGACTCAAAATTTAATTCACTTCCCCCCACCCCGCATCTGCACCAAAACGGGGATGGGGAGAGGGGTGGGTAGAAACAAACCAGTAAGACGTAAAACCACTTCAGATAAAACTCCCAGAAGACTTGTTGCTCATGGGGTAGAAAATCAGGCCTTAACACACCCCCTCCCCAAGTATTAGCCACGCACCAGGATTGCTTTTAAAGGAAAAGGTTAGACTGAAATCTCGCCATGGCAGCCATCAAGTATTAGAGCACAGTCACGGGGGGTTCTCTCCCTCTGAGGGCGTAGGCTGGCGCTAATACTATGCTCAAAACCAATCCATACACAGCACTTCCTCATCAGTAGTATTCTCTAGAGCTACAATCAAACTGTCATGGTGATAACCCCCCACAGGTCAGACTGCTGGGACTCAGGAAGGAAAACGCTGCCCTGCCCAGCCTGTCGTAAACAAGGAAGGCCAACTGAGTCCTAAGCATGCATCAGCCACACAGAATGCTGCTGCTGCTTCTCATCAAGCCAAACCCTGTACCATCAGAACACACACAGACTCGGCTCCGGAAGCCTCAGGCCCTGATGCTGAACTGATCATCACCGTCCCTACTGTGCACACTGACGGGTCTTGCTAGTTTTCAAATGCGGGGCTTGAAGCGCTGGCCCTGCCTGTCATTCGACCTGTGCGAGCAGAATGCTTTGGGGTGCCCGGCGGCCCCTGCACACACACGCCTCACCTGAAGGGTGCGTCATATAGGGGAAATGCGCTGTTGTCGAGACTGGAATGGGCTGTAGTGCACTTTGAGCGAGGGCGGCCTGGGGACCGCCGGGTGGCTGTGTCGTCATTAGCATCATTGGCGCATGGGCAGTTGGATGAGAAGGAACCATTCCTGACTGTACATGAGCCTGAAACAGAGAGCTCTTTTACGCATACAGGCAACATCTCCAGCTTAAACAACATGTCAACTGTGTTCCTTTCACTGGGCTGGGGCTCTCGGGAAAGGCAACAGTGGCCCCCAGGGCCCTTTATTTTCTTTGGGGACAATCCCTAGTGGGTCATCACTGACCTACGGACATGCTTCACCCTTTAGCAGATTGATCCTGCAAGGCTGAGGGAGCAGGTACCCAGTGAGTCTGGGTAAAAGTCAGGGCTGCAATGTCCTAGCCTTCAACCTTTCTGATCGCTGGATTCAATGTACAGGGCAAGATCTTCACAAAGACCAGATCCCTCACCCAAGGGCGGCATTCTCAGCCTAACATAACAGGAGGCAAGACGCAATCATGCTTCAGAATCTGGCTTCCATGTGGGGCCTCAAAGTTTTACAGAGGACATTCCTTTCAAGTAGGAAAGCGGATTATTACATTAGAAGCAGGGACTGTCGAATTCTGTTCCACTCTCCTGTTTGCCCTGCCCCCACCCCTACTGCTCCGCTGCTGGCCTGCGAGGAACGAGGCAGGGCAGTGAGAGAAGAGACTCAGGCTCCTCTACTCAGCTGGAAGATACGCTGATGGAGCAGGAGGAGGTCTGCAGTGAATGGCTTCAGTGAGATGGGGAGGGGTGATAAAAAATAATCCGGGCCAGCTCAGTGTCCCCGTGACAGTGAGTTCAACCCGGTCTGTCAAGTTGGGAAGGTCTTAGTCAGCCCAAACAGCCGGGTCCCAGCTCTGCAGGGCTCTGGCAGGACCCAGGACAGCCCGTTTTCCTGCCTCCCTCACTGTGCACAGCTCCAGACCAAGAAGCAACGCTGCTTTTATTCTCTTACACATTCAAATGGGCCCATGGCATATCTGGGCTTCCCTGGTTCACCCTTTCTGTTCTTTCAGCACAAAAACACAAAAGTGAGGTTTTAGGAACCCCGACCTACATGTAAAGTCACATACCTACTTAGCCACCAGCCTCTGCTAGACGTCTACAGGACCCCAGCTCTCATGTAGCTCCTGATTCAGCCAGACCATGCTGGCCCACACCTAGCGGAACCAGCTCCCCTCCCCACCATCCAAAGCCAATCATCCACTGCAGCGCGCCACATGACACACCCTGCACTTTGTACAAGAGGACACCCAAACTTCCCAGAGCTGTGGAACTCTAGTTACAAGGTCGCCTTCTGAGCCTTAGTGCCAACTGAGTCGCATTCCAGCCCCACCACACCAGACCTCAGTTGCACATTATTTGACGTGGAGTTCAGTGAGGCAGTCTAGCTTAGTCTAGCCTAAGAGTGCTGTTATGAAAGCAGCAAAGAGAGACATCGAATACAGCAATTCACCATTCACAGCTCCAGGGGGGGCCTCCAGGACAGGGTTAGAGCCCGACTTCAGTGCAGTTCCTTCCCCTCATTAAGACAGTCCAACTTGGCCCTGGACAGCATTGGACTTTTGTGAGCAGCTGATGCAGACAGCATCACACCTTCCAACCTTTAGAAGCTTACACGGGAGGTGAACTCCAAAGTGCACCCAGGGCTGCTCTTTAAGAAACAACGCAAACCCCTGGGTGCTTTCGGCTTCGAGTTACACTGCACCAATGCACAAGGCCAAGCCTTTTCAAGAAGTACAACTTATGGTCAAAGCAGATGTATGGATAGCCAGGGAAAACAACTTAATGAGTGGAGAGATTTCTCTAGAATTCATGACTAACATTCAAGCTGACAAGCCCAGGACAGTCACCTTAGAGTTGAGAATTAATGAAGGTCCACCTCGTGTGTGAGTGTGTGTGTGCGCACGTGTATCTCAGTGAAACTATAAAAACACAGCAAAGCAGACACAGATAGGAAAGGAGGACTGGGTTGCATTCCAGAGTGAAAGATTCTTTTTAAGGTCTCAGCTGGTAAACGTTAAAGGACTGATCTATCAGCAATTTCACTGGTCCCATTACAAAACCACACAAACATCCATTTAGGGCCAGATCACATGTATTTGAGTGGGAAGAGGGAGACAGGCAAATCACACACAGGGTTTCCCAGCTAGGAGAGCACCTGGCTGTTTGCTGCTTATCTGCTAACCTTCACATTCTATTGGTCTTCACAAAAAGTTGGCTAAAGCTGATTTACCTGAGGTACGTGGGCCATGTGGGGTGGATTGGTATATGCCGGCTGAACATGAGAAGGATGAATTGTAAAGACGGTCTGTTGTGCTGTTGGGAAACTATTCTGTGGCGACTGCGTATTGGAGGCAGGTGTCATGGAAGGAGGGGTTGGTGCAAGCCCCGCGTGGTAAATGGCTGACTGCTGCTGTGGACTGGCCAGATGGAGAGCCTGGGCGGCCTGGTGCTGATGGTGCTGCAAAGCAAAAGGGAAGAATTAAGAAAACCACTTCTTTAACGAAAGCCAGTTAAGGGTCACACACAAAGCTGAGCCCGACACATGAAAACAGGCTCCACCTGGGCCCAAGATGAGGGGCAAAGGCAGCCACAGGAGAACGCACAAGGTGGTAAGAGCAGGGTGGGAGGTGTGTGTGTATGTGGGGGGGTACGCCTCCTATTCAGAGACCTTCTTTCTGGGTACAAGCCCGATTCTCAGCCTGGCAGTTCTAAGCCCTCAATTAAGCAGAAGTAAAATAAAACTACCACCCCAGGGAAGAGACAGATGTCAGAGAGCCTTAACTGCCTGTTAATAAACACAATGAAAGAAGCTACTAGGGAAAAAAACTCAATCATATAAACATCAGGCATGATGTAAAGAAAAGTCCCAAGCAAATTCCTGTTAGATTTTTCAATATTGATGTTTCCAGAACTGATCTGATCATCTTATTCTCAGTATGTATTTTATGATATGACTTAACACCAACCCCAGGGGCACAGTCTGCAGAGCGACAGGCTGGCAACGGGAGGCGGGGCTGCTAAATGTTTTGATCATATAGTAACTAGCCCCTTGCCTGGCACTGAAGAAAAGAGTAAAGAGGAGGAAGCACTTCTTTGAAGGCCTCTGAGCTTCTCCTTACCTGAACAGGGCTGGGTGCAGGGTGATTTCCACCATGCTGGCTTTGCTGCTGTCCGGTAGGGGTAGCTGAAGGCTGAGGATGTGGCGTATGTGGGTGCAGGGTAGCATTAGGGTGTGCGTACTGCTGAGCAAGGGAACCAGTGGAAACTAAAGTGAAAGAAAAAGGAGTGTGTACAACTGCCACATGTGATAGATGACCTTAACCGCTCCTCTACGCTTCATCAATTGAGCTTTCTTGATGTTCAATGGCCTAACTTATGCTGTTTACCAATCTCTATATTTGACTCCACTTAAACCATCAATTTTCTTGAAAAAATAAATGTGAAGTTATTGCTAACAATCAGACTAGCATTTTATTCATATAACACAGTTGTATACATTACATTAAAATCTAATTAGTTTAAATTTACTCTTAAAACAGTCACTAGGTTTTCAAGAAAAGGTAACTTAAAAGCATAGGCAGAAACAATTCAAACAATGTCTGTCAACCCCTCCCCATCCCCCTCTTTCTCTCACATACACCTTAGCTTGAGGCCATCATCTGGCTAGCCTCACCATGCTACTGTCCTGGAGCTGCCACAGTGTCCCATGGGCACAGACTGTATCGGGCTAGGGGAAGGGGCTGGGTAAGTATGTGGCAAGATCAAGGCTCTATCTTCAACGCCAAAGACCACAATCTTTCTCAGGTGATCACGGAAGCCACTCTGCCACTCTGCCGGTTACCTGGGCTCTTTTTGTTCAAGAATCTCCCACCTTTGCTTTGTAAGACCTAGTAGTTAGAATTACTAAACTATGTAAAAAATGATGTGCCTTAAAAGCATCCCAGCCTTTAGAATCTTATTAGAGTAACTTCAAAGGAAACATGATGAGCCAATTTAAGTAAAAATGTGTTCATTAAAGATAAGAACCCAAAGCCAATTCTTTGTGAATCTCAGTACAGACCATGCCTTGGTAAAAAACAGGGAGATCAAGTATATATTAATTCACGTCTTCTCCAAGGAGCAATTTGAGATTCAAAGGTACAATAAAATGGGCTCTTTGCTTCCAGTGACTATAGAGAGCACACTGATAACAAACTTCACCATGATGTAGCAATGAACTGAGGACAGTGTTCTCGAGACAGACACATCACTAGCAACGTGTGACTCCCAGATTTCTCTTATATTAATCCTAAAATCCTTGAGAAGCTAAGCCCATACACAGACAGAAACAATTCCAAAATAGTTCATGTTCTTCATATGATGTGTTAGCAAAATACAGACATACAGGGGACTGATGGGGAGAAGCAAGCACTGCTTTGGGATCAGGCACCCTAACTCCTGCAGTCTAACAGGCAAGGATGCCAAGAGTCACCCAGCATAAACGACTGTGGGTAAGTCCCATGTAAATGTTATGCAGAGGGTTAGCACACAAAGCAATTCTGTAATGCTTGACATTGTAGGGCCAAGGGCCACCAACACTCCAGCGCAACTGGTTCTCTCTCCAAGTGCACGTGTATCTTTTAAAAGAGGGCAGGGTGAGGCAGAGTCAGTGCTAGGACCACCTGTGCATCCGCTGCCTATGCCGTGACAGGTGTTACTATCCAGATTAGATTAAAAAGAGCACTTTGTTTGTATTGAGAAAATTTCCTAATTATAATAGTTAACATACATTGGAACATATTAACAAGGAGAACGGTGATCGTATATTCTCTGAGAGGGTTTTTCCCCTTTTCAAAAAAAAAAAAAAATTTTTTTTTTTTTTTTTTTATTTTAAGTATAGTTGGCATAAAATAT